TCGTTTCGTTTGAGACCAGCCGTGCTTTTATTGGCAGCAGTGAGAGCCCTCGCTTACTTGAGCAGTGGATGGACAGAGACCTGCTGACAAGCAAAGTCTTTTGTTCCCTGCACTGCAGAGTCTTAAAGAAAGGTGTCTGTGTTGGTTTCTCTAGGTCCGTGATGAGTTTTGGCATGTATTATCTGAGGATAAGCCTGAAGAGTATCGGTTTAGCTCTAGAATTACTCTGAGACCTGAGAAATCAACTAGCGGTTGCTGCTCTGTGCACGAGGATGCACAGGGAGTTTAGCTGCTCGTACCCTTGGCTCTTGTGTTGGCACTACACGCTGACTCACCCTGGTATGGCTTCGTGCTGACTAGGTTTGACAAGCACTAACTAGCCTCAGTTTTGTAGCCACAGGTCATGGGGTGTAGCCCAGAGCGAGCGGATCCCAGCGCCAGCTGGGGACACATGTCGATAGCTGCTGATGTCCAAAGCCCAGCTGCTGTTACTTTTGCTGTCCCCAGAAGGGCTGTGAGCATTGCTGCCTGTCGTTGTTGTTCTTGTGCTTGGGCAGCAGTGCCTGTTGAAAATAGCACGTGTAGTTGGTGCAGGAGCTGCCATCAGTGTAAGAGGGTTGGACAGGAAGTTGCGCTTCCTGGTGCAGCTGCAGAGGGCGGCAATTTTGGCCCTGGGAAGTAACTTTTGTTACATGTTAGACTTGCTACTTTTGAGACTAGTTGGCGTGGTGATTTGAGCCGTTGTTTGGATGCCAAGCTAGTAACTGATGATCTTGGATCTTTGAAACTTTTCTCCCTTGCTGCCTCTCCCTTTGTTTTTGGGAGGGGCAGGAGAAAAGGGTTGTTGCCTTGCAGGCAGGTGGGGTCACAGGGCAGAAACGCACATGCAGACGTGGAAACGGCAGCTTACCGAGTATCTGGGTGTAGCTGTGAGGATAAACTGCATCCCTGTCCTCTGTTTGACACCAGGTATTTCTTGCTGGCTCGTACCGATCCAGACCCCAAGGCTCCTGCCAGCAAAGCCTTCACTGGATTCATCGTGGAAGCGGATAGCCCTGGCATCCAGATTGGAAGAAAGGTGAGGGCTGTACCTCTGGCTTGACAAGCCAGGAATGACTGTTCGGTTCTCAACCAGTAATGCAACAAGTGGGCGTTGCAGGAAAGGGCTGTGAGGCCGCGGCACGTTTTCTTATGCTCATGTGCACTGATCTTTTCATTTCTACAGCGCACGGAAACTGTTCCTGGGGCGTCGTCAAGAGGTTGTTAGTTCAGATGAGGAGCTATTCAGAGTGACCTTAAGCAAGATGCCTTTGGGCAGCTGCAAAAGAATCTTTGAGAACGACTCTAGTGACAGGCCCCAGTACCTGAGATGTAGAGTGTCTTGAAAGCATCAGAAGCAAGTGGGACAGTTGTGGCCATCAATGAAGTAAGTGGAGGGTGTTACGCAGGCCGGGGGGAGAGAGACAGAAGTAAAAGCTGTGTTTTCACACATCACACAGATGTTCTACTGCTGATCTTTTAAGATTATTTCTTAGTAATTTTATTAGTCTCAGTTTCTTAATCTGCATATGCTGTCCTACAGTTCTTTATTCAGCA